CATCTCCCCCCTTACCCACGCAGTTGTCGCAGACGCTGCAGTGGGAGGTGCGGGGCGGGCGGAACATCTTGCAGGTGTAGCAGTACTTGAGCTTCACAACGTACTTGTTGATCACCACCTCCATGGTGCGGGCTGGGGGGCGGTAGGTCGAGGTCCCCATGCTGTCTGCAAAGGCCAGGAGGGACAGTAAGAGGGGTGCAGGTGAAACCCAAGGCCCTTTATCACAGCCCCCCCACCCAGAGCTGCTGCCCGGCCGGGCGAAGGATCAGGCTGCAGAGCCCTGGGACAGGCTGCCCAGAGAGGCTGGGGAGTCTCCTTCTCTTAAGACTTTCAAGACCCATCTAGATGCATTTGTGAGTGACCTGCCCTAGATTTGGTCCTGCTCTGGCAGGGGTGTTGGACTTGATGATCTCCAGAGGTCCCTTCCGACCCCTGACATGCTGTGATTCCTGACTTGAAGCTAAAAGGCAGCTCAGCCCACAGGGCTCGTTGCAGGGCGGGCAGCCAGGAACTCCAGGCAGCTCCTTGCAGCATTTTTGATGTCCTCTCCTTGTCTGCTCCATGGTGATGCCAAGAGGAAGTAATAGCTGCCCAGTGCTTTGAGAACATACAGTAACTGATAAACAGAGAGCAGAAAAGCAGCAGTGTTCAAGTACCCAGCAACACCATCTCAGCTCTGCCTGTCAAATGGATCACAGCAGAAGGAGGCAACATCATCTGTCAACAGACTGTGGTTCCTCCTCTGCTGGAAGCATCTGAGTCACAGAAATCAGGATAACCTCTGCAGAAGGATCCCCCAGGACACATCAGTGCCAACCCAACTCATTTCCATCACAGTGGGGAAAGGCAACGAGGTCTCAAGTGCTCCAGGCAGATCTCATTGACATTTGATGATTCCTCAATGGTGCCCCATCCCTGGCAGTGTTGAAGGGCAGGTTGGATGGGGCTTGGAGCAGCCTGGGCTGCTGGGAGGTGTCCCTGCCCATGCAGGGTGTGAGACTGGATGATCTTTGAGGTCCCTTCCAACCCAAACCAGTCTGGGATTCTATGAAATTTGACAAATCAGCAGCACAAGAGGATTTCTCCTGCACCTCAAGGTCAAAACTGAGGATTTTTAGGGACACCACTGGTCACATCTGTGTGTGCTGGCACTTCACTGCTCGTTGGGCACTGGCAGCTGGAGACTGTTTCTCTGCTTAGCAAAAGTGTGAGCTAGAAAACCTCCATCAGCTTTGCAATTTTGGGGGTGATTTGTTGAAGTCCCTCTTGCCAAAGCACGTTCCCAACTCTGAGGGAGTCTTTGAAAACAGAGAAGCACCAGTGAGCAAGTTAAGAGGATAACAAGTGGATTATATTAAGAATAACAGCTGGTACATCAGGCAACATCTGCAGCCAGATCACTGCTTCAGGTATTTATAAATAGAAAGGTGAAAAAGCACTCTCAGGGTATTTTAAACCCATTTTTTTAGTCAGATGCAGAATTACTGCCTTGCAACTGCCTTCAGCAGGGCAGACTGGAGTCATCCCACGTTAGCTTTGCTAAAGCATTTGTCACAGGTCACACCAACAAGGTCCCCAGATCCTTCTTGGCCACCACCAAACCAGTGACACAGCAGTTTGAGATGAGGACAAACATTAGAGAGCCCATTACAATAAAGAACACCTTGAGGCACTGCAGGCTCAGTGGCAAATCATCATCTTAAAAAGCCTAAATTAATTATCCCGAGTCCTCACCACACGTTTTTGAAGGTGCCTGGTCAGATTCTTCCAAGTTTGGAGAACACTAAAGTAAATGCACTGTTAAGAAGCAGCACAGGCACTCTCTGCCTTCAAGAGCCTAGCAGGGTCACTCTGAAGGGGGTATCTTGGTCCCCCAGCTGCTGGCACACAGTTCCCAGTGACATTAATCTCTGGGACACTGATGCCACCACAAGCTCCCACTCCCCAGAGCTCTGTCCCCTCAGGTGCCATCCTGAAGGCAGGAACTGGCTGCAAAGGGAATGTGATGGGATTAAAAAGACAGGAAAACCACACCTCTGCTTCCCTGGAGCTCCTCTCTCTGAAGCACTGCCTCATCATCTGACACTCCAGCCTTTTCTCCTGAGACTGAGTGAGCCTGAGGCGTGTGGCACAGACACACTCACACTCTCAGGACACAGGGGAGGGGACACAAGTCTCACCGATCCGCTTTTCCAGGTCTGCAGCCTCACTTGGGGTGGCTCTGGGCAGGATGCCTGGGTCTCTGAAGCTTGTCTGGAGCAAGCAGCTGATGACAAAGAAGAAGAGGATGGCTGCAATGATGGGGATGGCCAAGGTGAGGTGACTGGCAAGGAAGGGGCAGCTGTTAAAAAGATGAAAACAAAAAGCATCGTGACCAACCACTGCTGCAGAAGCAGCTCTGGAGCTGTTACCTCACGTGGTGGCTGCTTTGCAGAGACCTCTGGGACAGCAAGAGCCAGCCCAGAAAACACTGGAGTGGCACTGGGAAGACAGGATCTTCAGCACAAAGTACCAACCCTTCTACACAACCTCTCTGCCCTTCTGAGGTCCCAGAATCACGTTTCAAAAACCTGTCCCCAAAGCCTGGTCACCTGCTACAAGAAGACATGGAGAAACACCTCAAGCCAAGCAAGGATCAAAGTCAGGGTGAACACAACCTCTTTTGGTCTAACACGTGAAGCTGAGAAGGAGCCTGGCTTGGATTCAACACAGCTTTGCTGTCTCTGGATGACTCCTGTACCCTTCATGGTGTGCCAGATGTTTGGATGAGGATGCCTTCCAGCACTGACACAGGGGTAACAAGCCACCAGGGACCTAAGCAGATGACACCTGCCCCTGGGCTTGCTGTCCTACAACCTGGGGCTGGTTTTCCACAGATGGGGACCAGCAGCATCACTCCCCACAGCAGGGCAGCTCTGCCACCTGCAGCACCACAGGTGAAGAGGCCAAAGGGCACAGCTCCCCACACAGAGACCTCTCCTGCCCCTTGCTCTGCAGAGGGATTTGCTATTCCAAGCACTGCTAAGTACTCAGAGCCCAGCTCAGACAGACAAGCTCCTTGAGCCCTGGTGTCTGTGGGCAGAGCTGAGTTTCACTAAGACTGCGGGGTAGTTTGAGAGGATTAAGCAACTCTTCTTTCAATTCCCAAGCTCAGCTGTCCAGACAAAGCAGCCACCAAGGAATAAAAGCCCTTCGGCCCAAGCCCAATGCCCCTCGGTCGCCTCCCTGATGGAGAGACAGAAACAGCTTTGAAATGCCAGACCTGAGCTTTGTTGTACTCTCCTGTTCCAGGAGAACCTCTGGATCCCCCTTCCCCCCACCTCAGGCAACAAGAAACTGCATTCAAATAATGTCAGAGCAGTCAGAAGCAGGATGCATGTGCTGCACGTCCAGCCAAACGCTCCCCGCGCAGCAGGGACGGTGCTAAAATAACAGCTTGGAAAGTCCCAGGGCACCTTCAACCACCAAAGAGTGACTAGGCAAGAAGGGAGGGGAGAGCAGAGGTGCTGCTGGTGCTGCCCCTGAGCTTCGGACCCAGCAGAGAAACCTGCCCAAGAGGCACAGACACTACCGGGATGCTGGTGCTGCCTCCCACAGCTGCCGGCTCCTCTCATCTCATCATCTCCTCTCAGAACCCCTAATCCGATCAAATTCCTTCAGCTGCCTACAGGCTTGGGCAGCTTTACCCTGAGATAACGACCCATGTTCCCCCCCCCTTCCCCGGCAGGGAACACAAGGTCCCTTCCCTCCGGAGGCAGGACAGCAGGAGCCCTCCGAGGTGTCACCTAACGGGGCAGGTCCCGGGGTGCAGGAGCTGCTGCCCGGGGCCAGTTTTCCAAAAGGAGAGGAACTTGGAGGGGATGCAGCTCCCCCCTGCACCCACACCACGGGGGCAGAGACCCGGGGCAGGACCCTCAAGGCAGGAGCCCAGGGGATTTCATGGAGCACCTTGAACTGTCGCTGCTGCCCCTGAGGACCAAGTTCAACAGCCCTGGGGGTTTCTCGGCTGCACTTCTGCATCAGTTCTCTCCTTAGAAGGAGGGGAGACCGGGAGAGGGGGGGGTGTGTGGATTTAGAGACCAGAGGGGCTTCCTGGGAGGATGTTAAACCCCTTCCAGAGGCCGCGCTGAGTAAAACATGGTCTAGGGCTGCCCCTGCCCCCCCACCTGTCCCCCCCACCCACACACCTGGGAACGGGCAGTGGGGAAGCAAGAGGCTGCCTGAGAG